AATTCTTCGGGAGTCCTTTAGAGGATCTACGGCTTTACGCTTTGCAAGAGCATTCAAGTGACGTAATCCCACTATGACTTACCATCATCTTTGCTCTGGAACAACCGCTTTTTGAACTTCTTATTATGCTTACAACTGAATACCTTCTTGAACAGCTATTCGTCTAGAGCAATTTAGGTTGAGTTAATCCAGGAGGAGTTGAACATTTGAAATAAACACCGATTTGAAGAACGTGAGAAATCTTGTTGTTTAAATGAGTCATCACGACTCCTAATAGTAAAACAATGCATCCTATGTACTTTTTCGTTTTGAAGTCCAAAGTCGATGCAATTATCTTTGCTACTTGTTAAAATAACCTGAGTTTATTTAGAAAGAGTGTGAAGTACTAGTTCTATATCTCACGCACAAGTTATATTAATTGATACTCAACTGGAGTTCCCAGCGTCACTTAGCAATCTTCAAGTGCATTTTTACATGCCTCATTGCGGCTCTTTTTCCCCCGAACTGTACCTACTTCAGATATCGGCGGAAAAATTTTCGACCGGGTTGAGACGCAGAACTTTGCTAAAGGTGGGCTATTTTTCCAAGCACCCATGCATCCACCCATTAGACTGCGAAATGCAGGTCTGCTCAAAATTTCGTTCGCTGCACGCAAGCACACATATGCAAACACATTTTTTGCATTGACTATCTCTGTATCTTCTCAATTCATACCCTCCTTCGCCACATAAACTCACACTTTGCGCTTATTTATATTGCAAGTGTATTTCACATTTGTGTGCACAAACAAATCCACTGTACCGAAACTTATTTTTACGGGTGTACACGAGATTCAATAATCGGAAATCAGTCATGGTCAACCAATAACGGACCTGCTCATGTTAACCACTTAAAATCAATATAATTTTATCAGTTTTCATTATCTATTTCATTAACCCCCATCCCCCCACCCTTCTAGGTGACCTCGGACAAGAAAAGGTTGAGAAAATCGTTCGATTTGATGCAGTTCCTCACGGCGGAATCCCAGACGATTGAAATTGAGCTCACCGTTATGTCTACACCCTGCTTGTTGTTGGAGGTTAGATGGCTGTAAGTTCATCATCACTATCTGAGAGAATTAGAAAAAAACATGCATGTCTAATTCAATTTACCATAAGCATATTCGAAAGAAATCTCATTTCATCATTGTCGTCAAATAAGATTGACATCAATTCCTAAATAACTAGATAATTCCTGAGTCACTCAGTAATTATGAGTCGTTACATCGATCACACAAATGACTGCATTGTATGTGGTGTTTGAAAATCGTATTGTATTGATAATAGTGCACTTTTACTGCGAATTATGGTGGGCAAATAATTTATGTAGCTGATACTGAGAATCAATCGAATAAGAAAGTAACGTTGGCTTTGTGCGCTGATGGTAAATGGCTTTCAATTGTAATCTAAATTTTAATTTGAAGTGAATTTGCATAAAGAAAGTTCAGATATCTTTTAATGAGATCAGGCACGCCTAATCTAACCCACCCCCCCCTCTCCCTCGATTCACTTCACAAACGGAGTGAGGAAATTTTCCGAATGGGAAGGTAGGTCGGAGCCGGTCAATGCAAAATCCTTATATAATTAATCAAATTAATTAACCAGACCGGATGGTCATCCACAATAACTGGGATGCAACGGTGAGTTTCGACTTCATTGACCCTGACCCTTGGCTCAAAGACCGATCTTCTTAGTGTTCACTCTTCTTTTATAAGCATTAGGCAAATAATTTATCATATAATTACACTTGATTGTTTTAGTATAGGAAATAGTGGCGAAGGTGAATTGGATCTAACTTGACTTGGTTTGATAATAAGAATTTTAGTTTCAAGTATGTTAATTTTAAAGATTTCTAACACTTCGACAAAAAATAAGAAAATTTATCTCAAATCGATATGCAACATAAGTATCAAGCAGACATAATGGAGGTTGTAAGTACCATGAATAAATGATATCACTCAAATACTTTTAAAGATCACGCCTCCAATGAAGAACAATAAGTTTTGAAAGCCCATTTTGAAGTTAAAGTAATTTTATTTCATAAAAAAACTAATTTTCAACGTTGCAGCCCATTTACTCGAATGGATTTGGCTGCACTCGAGAAATTCCCAGTTTCCCCGTCCCTAGGCATGGAATGGTACGGCAAGAGCAGTTTTGATGAGAGTTCTCAGGGTTCTAACGGTGTCCCAGTGATACGCGACCGTCGAGTACGAGGTTTGAGTCCAGCACCGGAAAGTGAACGAGACCGGGATGGTGGCTTCGAGTCAATGAGTTCACAAGACATTATGACGTCTAACGATAAGCTTGGGTTACCCCTTGTGGAAGAACAATGCCAAGTTCAGAGCAATGAAGTCAGTGGTGATATTCCCTCTTTTCTGATCGATGATTCCATCACTGAGACGTCACTATTCCAACCTCAGCAACATAGTTTCAGGGTATGTTAATCATTCTTCGATTCAAGGAGTTCTTTTTCAATAATCTCTCCTTTTTTTAATTCCCAAAGCGTTTCGCTTTTTCTTGAAAATATCCAATTATGGAATAGCACGCCTTTCTTGCGCAATTGCGTTGATTTATTGTGAAACACTGCGGTTCTTATGCAGAATCGTTCAGAATTAGGTCACGAACCATCAGTAAATGGTGAATGTCTTAGGTATGTGGCAATAATCTGGTAGTTTAGTTCTTCTTTTGAGGATAGATTCATAAGTGAAAAATTTCCTATTGCAAATCCATTTTAAATCATTCTTAAATGTCAATAAAACAACTATTTAAATTTCATTCTCTTCAAGTGCAAAGTCATATACACTGGTGTATAATTAGAATTGAAAATTCCTTTTATCAAGACAGGAATTAGCTTGAAAACAGATGTCTATGACCTCGTTTTTACTATAAGAAGGAAAGTTAGATAAGCCAGACTACCTCAGTTACATAGCCGTTCACCTTGGCTTCTTCTCTCCTCCACCCCATCCCTCCAAGAGAAACAAAATGAGCATTTAGAATTATTCTAAAACTGATCATAATGATTCATTAAATGACAATAGTCAGGAGCCTACTTTGGGTCATTGAACAGCTCTAGTTGATTCATTTAGAAAGGCGATGCACTATTTGTCTATGCTAGAATTCTGTCAATATTCTATTCACTGTAACCTTCATATTAGATAGTGAGAATAAACACAATTGAGAAATACTGATATAGATAAAATTAACCCCCCCATGAAACATTTTTGAATAGAAAAGAATGAAAGAAGTTCACTTCTGATTCAAACAAACTCGGTTAACTATTTTCTTGTAATAAATGAAGGGACTAATTAAAAAAACGACAAAGAAGTCAGATTCTTTATTTTTGTAAAAATAGGGTGGAAGAGTGATAACGTAGATAGCGGTGGTAGTAGTAGTAGTAGAAGCATTAAATAGATTGGTTTCCAATCAATCCACTAGCCGTTCAAAATGCATTATTGAAGGGTTGGCTATAACTGAAGATATAAATTCATTGTACTGAAAGTAGATTTAATTTGATGCATCTCAACAAGACGATCTTTGATCTCCACCTCATTAAGTAAATGATAGGGAAATTAGATTATAAGCCTCTAAACAACGATGTCAATGAAGTTATTCGACTTTTTATACATATAAACAACTAATATGGGTAATATTTATATTAATTTCAAATGGTAGGCGTTTTGATAGCTATCATTAGCCATTTAGCTGACTTCAGGCTTCACAGAGGGAAGGTTCATCAAAGTAGAAGAAAGTCGAGGGGTGGGGTATAGAAGAGCGATTCACAGGTGTAAAAGAGGCAGACAGACACAAAGGTAGAGTAAAAGGTAAGGTGTGTACTGTGAAAGGGGTCGAATATGGCAAGCAGTCGGGCCATGGTAGTTTGAAGTCAGAAGTCAACTGCCGGTTAATAGACTTTTTTGCCGTATGAGTATACGTTGCCCAGGGTGCACCACGTGGAGGTAAGTCTAATGCAGACCCCATTTGGGTAATATAGTGCTAAGATTTCAGAGCAAATTGTAAATGAATTTAATTGCGTTAAGTATTACGAACTTTGAAACCAAAATCCCAGAAGATCTTGAAAGGAACGCACCATCAGCATATATATATATATATATATATATATATATTTACAACCGACTAGTTAGGCAAAATGGCAACTCAATGACTGAAGACAGTGATTCGTACCCGCATATCTGCTACCCAATAAAAGGGGGATTGAGACCTCACATTTATTTTGAATTTACGGCTTTAACCGGGAATTTGTAATTATATCATCACTTGCAATGCACACTAGTACACTTTTTCAGGAATTCTACCATTTAAGTATCAGCTATTAGGGTGTGTGTATGTGTGGTTGGCTTGGACTAGTTTCTACTTGAAAATATGTTGAGAAATAGTTGGCAGCATTAAATTCACTCTTGTAAATTAAAAATGTAACAACTTTTAATGATGGGAAATATGTGAATTGTTTAACAAGGGTGGTAGTCAAGCGGATGTAGAGGTTAGAGTGAATACATAAACACTACTCCTACATTATTTAAAATGAAAATCTATTGAGTTTTCTACAATAATTCCATGAAGTAATTTCATTGGCCTACGCCCTTTCGCATTAAAAAATTTAATTATCAGATTTCAATTCATTGGTATCTGTTTTGGATTTTTAAGACTGTCTGCTGCTGACTATCACGTGGGATATTTTTATCAGCACATTTGAAGTAATAAAAAACAATTTGTCATGGCCAAACCGAACGTCACTGCCAAAAACAATACTATTTATCATAGATAAGCAACTGGTAGTTGAAATTCGCCTTTTGGAATAGGATTCACCGATTTGGTAAATATTTTTCAATTTGAAGTAAAAATTCAACTAAAGTAGGACACGTTGATATCTTGACGTGTTTATGAACCCCCCCCCCCTTCCTCCTCCCCCCACGCCCCCCCCCCCCCCCTCACCTCCTTTTAGCATTGTTTGGAATGCTCATTAACCTGTTTCAACTTTACCCACAATTACAATTCCACACTCCTTTATTTATATTTGACCACGGGTATGAAAAATACAATTTCAGTGGTTTACCATCCAACCTTGTGTCAAAGTGAATAATCACTTAAGCACCAATGACTTTATTGTGATTAGAGTGCACTTGAGGCGACATAATCTCCTATTAGCAATATAAAGCAAAAATTTTATATCACATAGCAGATTTTATTTTGATTTAATAATTTAATAAAGTGCAAAGGTTGATGAAAGACGTTTTGATAACGAATTGAATTGGATTAAAACAGTTGCCTAGATTTAAAATCTATTACTTACTATTCGCATTTTCTTGCAGAGCAAAGGTTGAGTTATTATCTTTGTTGATAAATTGGGAATTGATTTGAAATGATTGGCAATGGGTAACATTTATTTATATAAAATGGCAGGAGTCTTGATGGCAATCATTAGCCCTTTAGTTGACTTCAGGCCTCACAGAGGGGAAGGAACATCAAAGTGAAAAAAAGTCGAGAGGGGGGGGGGGGGGGGGGGGGAGGAACAGAAGAGTTTCAAAGGCGAAGTTAGAAAAGGTAGGAAAAAGGTTAGGTGGGTACTGTGAAAGATGTCGAATATGACATACAGTGGGGTGATAGTAATTTGAAGTCAGAAGCCAACTGCCGATTTAAAGACCTTTTTGCCGTATGAGTATACGTTGCCCAGGGTGCAGGACTTTTTTGCCGTGTGAGTATACGTTGCCCAGGGTGCACAACGTGGAGGCAATGGGTAACATTGAGTAGACTATAATTAGGCAGTTGTACGACATTTAAGAAAAATAATGGGCAAAAGTGACTTAATTGCTGCATACTTAAGCTAATATGGCAGTTTCGTTGAACCAACCCACATAATGGCTTATACTTTAATTAATACCTCGAAGTTCTTTTGATTTTCATTAGCTAATCTGATGGTGTGGATTAGGGTTAGGGTTGCAACTCGTGTGAGCATTGTAATCACATGGACAATTCCAACGCGCAAATTGAAAGATGAGCACTCTATAAATTCATTTAACAGAAGCGAACAAGAAAATCTGATGTTTTACACCCGGTTGGGGTGATAGTCAAAATGAAAGTTACTGATCGAAAAGGTATGTCTCAAATTATAGGGTTGGCTAATGGCACTGGTTATGGACAGTAGTAGAAACTTAACTGGTAATTATTGAATTTTTTAATTTCATTTGATGTAATAGTAAATTTGTCAATGTTTGAAACATGTACCCTCATCTACTTACTTAAATTTTCTATTTGATGTCCTTGATTATCTTGGGTTTCTATGCTGAAGATCAACGTTTCCAACAGTGCGGGATGTGGCGAATTACGAAAACGCAGAAAAGCATCGATTTTGCTTCACGTTAAATGTTACTCTTTTTTTGAAAAATCGCTTTATTGTGGCCCTTTCCAATATACTTTTGAGGTCTGAGGATGGCGAACGCTGTGTCAAACGTCATTACCAAGCCTATTGGGCTCGTATTATTAAATAAAAAAATAAAGATAGAGACCTTTACTTACGTCTCTTTGTAACAGTAATGGAATCCAAGTAGTTGGAGTTGTAATATTTATTTGTTGATTATGAGTTAAATATTGATTTGGCTGACAGTTCTTATTAAGATTAAAGCATTGATTATTTGTTCCTTTCAGGCAAACGAAAGATACCCGGAAGAAAATGAAAGTTCAGGTGATATCACGTGTCATGAGGAGAGAGACCTCGCTCACCACATCAAAACTATACAACAGAGCATTGACGATATTAATCGTCATCCCAATCGCTATAGAAAGCTTCTAGAAGTGCGTAGCATTTCCTTTGTATAAGAGTGCTAGTATTCTAGAATTAAATGTTATTTGTACTTTTAGAATCTTTCAATAGTTATTGAAACACTTCATGAACAGCTGACCACTTCTGGAAAATTTTCTACTAGTTCTTTGTCAAGACAAAAACTCCCCTCAAAGAAAATAGACAGTGATTTACAAAAAAGTCTTTCCATATTAGATCTAGCGATCGGTGAATCACCTTCCAATTTTGCTTCAGCTGTCGAGTCTTGGACAATGCCACTTTCCACTGGTTGGGATGATCTAGATTCAGCGATTGAATGGCATCTGCGAAATATATCCCTTCTAATAGAAAAATTAGCTACCTCTGAGAGAATATTCACTGCCGCAACAGATTTAGAAGGGTCGAAAAGTAAAAGTCTACTTTGTATCCATGAAGATCTGATTGCCATGGCACTTGATTCTCAGGTACTACAGCTCAATTCTCTCTAATTGTATTCTGTTTGGTCACCTTCAATCAAAACTATTATTCACGGTTTTCAGTCTGAAATCCTTTCGGATATTACCGGACTGGTATTCAGCTATAGTGAGTCGAAGGATCCCCTGAGGATTGTTCTGCAATCCCACTGCCTTGCATATTGTGGTACAATGGATCGGGGATATCAAATCTCCCAAAACAGTACTCACTCACCTCTCTTTCCCAAATCATTTTGGAAGAATTTTGTTTGGCACAATACTCCAACTAGTAATCTCTTACTCAACGATTTACCCAACTCTGGATCTATTAACAGACTTTCCGCTTCTGGGGAAAATATCCATCCCTCTGTTATGATTGATCGAGAGAGTCTTCAAGCATATCTCCTAAAGCAATATGCGGTTCTTTATAGCAAAGAAGAAGATGAACAGGCGCTTTATATAGGTGAGTAGAATGCTCAAATACAAAATCCAACTGTAAATCGTATTATAAGAAGTGAAATGAGAAAATTTATATGCAGAATTACTTACAGAATATGACGGTTCTCGCTTTCTATCATAGTTTAATTTCGGGAACACCCTAATGGTTCAATGACATCTTAATTCTATATTGAAAATTGCATTCAGGAATTGTTATTTGTTTTTTGTGACAAACGATTCATGGGTTATTATTATTTATGATGTTTTTTTCTTTAATTTGCTGGGAAATTTCGGGTTCCAACAAAGATATGGAACTCTATCCACCTCAAATTTTGAATGAAAATAACTTGTAGTTCTTCAAGAAAGATTGACACGTATGTGTTTATTTGAAGAAAACTAACCTGTTCGTAGCCATTAATATATTATACACACAAACTATGAGATAGAGTACGATCCCAGTCACTCAGATTCAGGCAAACATTTAAAATAAATTTGCGTCTCAAAATGTTTTATTATTATTTTTACATCAAATGGTAGGCGTTTTGATTGTTATCATTAGCCCTTTAGTTGACTTCAGTCTTCACAGACTGGAAGGAACATCAAAATGTAAAAAGATTCAAGAGGGGGGGGGGGAACAGAAGAGTGTATCAAAGACGAAGGTAGATAAGGTGGAAAAAAGGTGGGATGAGTACTGTGAAAGTAGTTGAATATGACATACAGTGGGGTCATAGTAGTTTGAAGTCAACTGCCAGGTAATGGACTTTTTTGCCGTATGAGTATACGTTGCTCAGGGTGCACCACGTCGAGGTAAGTCTATCACACACCCCGCGTCTCAAAATGTCGGTTACTCGTTTTCACTTTATTAAGAATTCACATTTTTAATAAATATATATTTTGGAAATAGATTTTAATGAAATACTATTGTAGATTGGAGTCTCTATTTTCAGTTCTGAGACACACGAATAGAAATCAAAGAATATATCACGCCGGAAGAACATATCTCATTCCTTGAATTTCATGAGTTCCATTATGAGCTTTAATACTATTTATTTCTCTCTCTCCCTCCCCCCCATGTTAGGTTAAATTGTTAATTCATTTATCTGATTTACATGGTGAAGTAATTAGTTTTATAATAGTATTTTTATGTAGAAGAGAAAGATCGACAGGTTTCTTTTAAGTGAACATAGCAATGGTAATTAGAGTGAAATTCAAGGAATATGGGAAATCGTATTTCATCTGAGGTCATTGACTGTCTTAAATTCAATTTTGGTGAGACATATCACAGATTTTCATAATCTTCATGCCCACTTTTCCTCCATTCCCATTTGCCCAACTCAGTTGATCGATCATCCGTGTGTTTATAGTGATGGCTTGGCCATAGCCAAATAATTAGCAAGGTTTTATTTATACCAAATGGCAGGCGTTTTGATGGTTATCATCAGCCCTTTAGTTGACTTCAGGCTTCACAGAGGGGAAGGAACATCAAAGTGGAAAAAAAGTCGAGAGGGGGGGGGGAACAGAAGAGTGTTTCAAAGACGAAGGTAGAAAAAAGGTGAGGTGAGTACCGTAGAAGTAGTCGAATATAACATACAGTGGGATGATGGTAGTTTGAAGTCAGAAGTCAACTGCCGGTTAATAGACCTTTTACCGTACGAGTATACGTTGCCCAAGGTGCCCCACGTGGAGGTAAGTCTATCGCACACCCCAACTAATTCGCAAGGATTAGGCGATAACGGGATTTCATGGATCCGGCCCATTTAGATTTGGGTAAATATGAAACCAGCGTTGAACCAACAGAGCGAATATGTAATAATGGCTCAATGACCTTGTCGTTATTCTTACTTTATCTTTGACTTTGCAATCTATCTAGGTTAATGACCAAAACAGATCGTTATTATGACATTGGATTAAAGTTTCTAATTGGTTTCTTTTCGTTGCTTTACACCTAAAATTAAGTGCCTTAATATTGCCAATTACGTCATATACGTATCAGCGGTAAATGTTATGCTTGTGAATTATTTCAAATATTTATTCCAACATTTTTTAGCGAATATTTGATTTGGCAAATAGTTCGTCTGCCACTCAAATTGAGGCGGCAGAAAAGTGTCATTTTTATACCAAAAAATATAAGTACAAATAAAATAAAGGGAAAAATTTCGAAAAATTAACCACTTTAAATATAATAGGCATTGGTTATCAATNTTCAAATGTCTTTATTTTGAAAATTTTTAATGCTGAACAGTGTAGTTATTAAGACAGTCAGTTCTTCCTTTCAATAAATTGTTGAAGGAAGTGACCTCAATTGAAACCCTTCAATGCTCCTTCAACACTTTATAATGTGTATCAAAGCATCACCTGTCCATGCGTATTAGGAGTTGGGTCAGTCGATTGCTCTCCTAATGCTTGAAACCCAAAACACGTCTCCTCTCTCTATATATATATTTATTCAGCTCATTAATTTAGTGAGCAAAACTAATATTATTATAATTTCAAATGGCAGGCTTTGTGATATTTATCATTAGCCCTTAAACTTTGACTTCAGCTTCCCCCAAGGGGGGCGGGGTACATTTATAGCAATTAATTAATAGAAGTTCATTAGCTGTCTTCTTGCATCCCAGTATCTCTGGCTTTCCATCGCTGTCTTTAGGGCTGGACATCGAATCAGGTGGATCTTCTCCATTTCCTCCTGTAGGTTACATAGGGGGCATGTGGGTTGAGTGTATACTCCCAATCTGTGAAGATGTTTTGCCAAGCAATCGTGTCCGGTACGTAGTCTAAACTCAGCAACGGCTTCGATTCTTGGCCAGTCGGCTATATCGGAGAGTGCCACTGACCACTGTTTCTCCTTTGTTCGAGCTTTAAGTTCGTTGCACCTTTAGGTCTTGAGTTCTCTTCTGATTAAGGCCTTCATTGTGTGGAAAGACATCGGTCGGTCCATGCGTCGCAAAATCGTTGTCCCCTTCTTAGCAAGTGTGTCAGCAAGCCCATTGTCTTTAATGCCACAATGACCAGGAATCCATTGTAGGACCACTGTTTTGCTTTTCTCTAAGCAGCTGATAGAGTTTTCTACATTCCTTTATCTCAGGTGTTTTGGGTGGCTCTCTGTTTCCAATTGAGTTTATTGTTCACTGTGAGTCCGAAAGTATCACCGCTTTGGTGAATTTCGTATCCAGGCAACATAATTGGCATAGTGCTATCCTAATGGCCTCTATTTCTCCTTCAAAAGCGGATCTATTGTGTCCCGCTGCTGCGTAGGAAGAGAAAAGTTCAGAAAAGACACTTGCACCAATGTTTGCTTGGTTTTCTATGTACGATCCATCAGTGAAGACTTGGAGCCATTGATCTGCAAAATTTTGGGGTGTGGTCAAGTGAAATTGTACTTGAGATTCGACATGATTTGTCAAAATATAGCATTAAAAATCTCTCTCTCACTCTCTCTGACAGCTCTGAAAACTAGTAGACTTAATTTGCTGGTTAAATAGAGACAATAGAAGTTAGTTCTGCTGGACCATATGTCAATCGCTACTTTGTAATGAAGAAACATATTAGTTGTTGTTAACGAAGGGTTACTTTTTAACACTCACATTGAACAGACAGTTTCTCTTGTCATTAAAATTCCGTTTTATCAGTCAGCTTCAATGCGTTCGTCAGGTCATTCCATTTGCTGATTTCTATGAGCTCTGTTTTGATTGTGCGAATAGTAGCCATGTAAAAATTGTACTTATCAAGTAACTGGATAAATGTAGTACTTTAAATTTCACTTGAACGCTATTGTTTTGAGGATTTATTCAACTATTGCTAATTTGGGAGCAATATTCAATTTTTCTTTTGACGAGAAACACCTTCAAATCGCGCGGAAGCAATCGATTAGCCTGAACAAACAAAGGCATATTTGTGGATTAACTACGACGGTAACGTCTCAAGAAGACTCCTAGCAATTTTGATTTCGGGAAAAATCACTTACTGTGAGAGCTTCTTCCAACAAACGGGAAATTTAGTTTGATTGAGGTTTAGTTGATTAGACATTTTCTATTCAACAATATGTAAGGGGAACTCGGCCAGAACCCGAAATAAAACAGGATCACATTTTACTTAAATTGAGTAAGTTTTTTTCTTTTAGACTTCATATATGTCTCTAAACGCAAGAATATCTATTTTGTTTTTAAAAACATTCGCACCACGAATTTTCAACAAGATAAATTGTTACTATCTCCTCCCTACTTTAGTAAGAAAAAGTGAATACAATTGAGACAAATTTAAATGGATTAAAAAAATGACCTCACGCATCTTTACGATGATCTTTGAAAGGCAGGTAGTTAAATCTATTTTTTCAGAGTTAACTGTGTCTGGTGGCAAGTAGACCGGCGAAATAGTAAATTGGTCGTGATGGATTCCAAATGGTTGTCGATTAGGAACACATTTTTAATTGTGAAGGGAATGAGTTGTTCGTTCACTTTTCTAAGCGGTACATCACGTTTTTAGTTTGTATGGAAACGTTTCAATGCTCAATTCTAGTAATTGGATGTGTTCAAATTTGCAATATTTCGAGATTGTGGAATTGTTGAAACAATTAAATAGCTTCCATGCCAGTTTAACTCATGGCTCCTTCCAGGAGTCATTAGTGGCCCCTTATACTGTAGCGGATTGCTACACTAGTAAAGCCTGACTGATTCAGAAATCTCTATGGCAGATCCTCCTACATCTAGCTAGACTCTCAGAACCAGCTAAGCTACAGCCCAGCTATAAAGGAAACAGACGTGTAGCACGGAGCACGTTCATTCAGTACGAATATTGCGGATAAAAGTGTACACGCAGGGAGCTACTCCTGATCAGCATGGGGGATTAGGTTAAACAGAGGTTGATGATTGGTCACAGAATGGGGGATTAGGTTAAACAGAGGTTAATCATGATCAGGATGGCGGATTAGGTCAAACAAACAGAGGCTAGTGGTCACTGTTTGTACGGTGGGGATTAGGTTAAACAGAGGTTGATGATTGGTCATTGTTTGTACGGTCCCTAAACACAGAGTTGTACAGCCGCACCTCCCAATCCTGGCGAGCAGACATGCAGGCATAAGCCGCACCTCCCAATCCTGGCGAGCAGACATGCAGGCATACAATTGTGTGGTGATCAATTCAAGATACTTTGCTTCATAATTTGAGTTAAATATACACAAAAAACGAGATTATCCTATTCTACTTTTATTCCACTACTACCTGTACTGTGCTCGTGATTGCAATAAAACACTTGCTCAGAAGTGTCTTATTTTAATAATAATTATTTCAATTATTTATCGTTCGGATGGGTTTTATTAGTATAACACTGTGGCGTTTTAAAAATGGCGACTCTTCTAATACCTTAAAGTAATTTTTAAATTGATTTTGTTTTTAAATCATGGATTCACTGTTTTGTGGAAGAAAGTTTCTTGGGAATTGAAGTTTTCGGTGAAATATTTATATTCTACACAAAAGCAGAAAAAAACAGAAAGATTATTGGAAGATATGATTTTCTCTTATTTGATGTTCTTTGGCATGCCACTTTTTCTAAATGCATAAAATTTGTCTATGCGTGTGTACGCTTTGTACTAAATTTAAAAATTTATTTTCCAATTAGTTATTTTTATGCACTTTATTGTAAATTTAGAGCTTTTTAGTTTGTGCAATTAGAACATAAAGTATTTCATCTTAGTTATTTCCGTTAGCAACAATTTGGACATGATAAATAGCTCATTTTGAGTGAAATAAATAATTGATAAACTAATTAATATTTTGACTATAGGATTTAATTTACTTTTAAACTGAGTTAAGGTCTTGAAACTCAGTGTATGTATATATCTTTTTTCTTTCAGCAATTGACACTCTGATTGAACAGATCACAGATAATGATTTGACAGATGCCAGCCCTTCTCGAGAAATACCGCTAACTCAACTTTGTCATCGATTGAAACCGCAAAATTTCAAAATCCTCACACGATTCGACAGCCTTAAACCGGGAACTTTCAATAGCAGAACCAGCATTTCCTCACCCCGACCAACTCAGCCCACTGATCCTTCAATTGATCTTGCTCTTGAATACCTCATTCAACAAGGTTAGTCTTTGCTAATTTTAAAAGACTTTTAAAACTCAAACCACGTAAGTAAACTCATGAACAATATAGTCAAGAAAAGCACCATGCTCTGTTTATTTTCGGTTAATCTTGAAAATTATGTAAGGAAATTGAATAGTAAAACCTTCTATGACCTATTCTTAGCAATGTCTTGAATGAAAGGATGGTGCCATAGAACATCGCACAAGGAGTCCTTGAATTCTGACACTCCATGTATTAGTGTAATCTGTGTGGGAGTTCACGTCATCCACTAGATGTGCGTTGGTGGGACTCGAATCAATGAAGGCTAAGTTACAGCTAAATACGCTGACAAATTCTCCACAGGCTCAAAATAACTGCCATGATAACAGAATTTGTGATATTCTCCATATCGATTTGCTTACTTATATTGGGTTTGTTAGTAGTGTAGTAGTCAGTGAGTATATTTAGCGTTTTGGCTATTGTAGATTTACCTCTATTTGATAGGAGTAGAAACCTTGTCAAGGATTATTTGAATTAGTGTTGTGAGTATAATAATAACAATAAATGAGGCAGTTAGATTCGATTGACAAAATTAATGGGACCACTGAAGTCATTTAACGCAGCTGTTAGTAGATTTGTCCGTATGGCACTACTTTGCATTTTCGTTGAACAAATTAGCTTTAAATTCATCAGTCTCAAGTTGTAAAATCCTTAACATTAAGTAAAGCTATGATCAACTTATAAATCTTGCACAATTAAGGCTTAACGTTTTCACATTTTACCAAAAGTGTACATTTTAAATCACTGAATTAAATTTATCTTGGCAGGCAGTGTAGAAGCAATGTATAAAATGTATGAAAGGTCATTACTTTTTAATAAAGCTACGTTCAAACTTATTTTGAGAATGTGCGCCTTGGTGGGACTTTGAACTGAAATATTAGGTCTCTGAATGATGGTTCTTTGTACTTTTATGGAAAATGTCTGTAAAATTCACTTTCAAGACGTTTTTAGTTGATTGACATAAATGCTTCAAGTAAGCATAAGTTTACTAGCCTTACCTAAACAGGTTTCAACATGATTTACGCTGAATAACGTGGAATTCATGATCACTGTCAAATCACAAAAGTTTACAATTTATTATTTGCCCAGTTAAAAAATGAACGATCATTTCGGTTCACTTAAGGTAATTGAAGGAATTATATCAATTCAACACACCTCCAGTCCACTAAATTCTCGTGCTCATTGTTGGTGCAGTGATGTAGTTGAAAGTTCGTTGTAGTCATTAAATTGGAAGGGTTTCTTAAACGCTTTCATTCTGTTGCATCCGTTTACGTGAATTGACCACTATAAGTAATGTATGATCAATCAACAATACAATTTTCAAACCTATTTGATGTCATAGATCTTCATAAAATACGAAGATCCAGTAAAAGTAGGGCTTTCTTCAAAATTCAATGCATTTAAATAAAATTGTAGCTTTGGAAAGTAATAGGGAATACATCCCTCCCC